GCAAAATCTTTTATTTACTATGATGTGGCCTATTTCGTCATGGTACTCTCCATTGGGAGACTCAAAGCCGGTACTGATCCACATTTTTTTAATCGTAAACGTCCGATTCGGGTTGTAAGTTTTTCGTATGAATCGATGTTCACTGGCAAACTCATGTTCACGAGAACGCCGACCCCGCGACTCCTCTACTGTCGCGAGTTCTGAGGAACAGTCATTTTGCGGTGTCATTGACGGCGTTGAATGGGTGGTGTCCTCTCATCTCGGTCAGGCCAATGACGTCGTGCATTATCCTCCTTGCTTGCATGAGCAAGTCTTCCATCGAGGAATTGGATGCAAGTGTACGTGCATTGTAGGTACAGATCGTCACCATAGTTCTTTGAAATCCAGGTAGTCTCCATTGGCCATGAGATTTTAGCAGTCTCTCCGTATTTGTCGTACCCAACGTTGCGAAATTGTGGACTCTATCGGAGTCAGCGGAATGGGGCCCGTTTTTTACAGTGTGTAGAATTTTGATACCCACGTATTGCTTGCTGGGCTCTGAATGTGAGGCTGGGTATACTCACGGGTAGCTTGCCAGGCTCTCGTAGAGTGGCCATGGAGCTTACTTGTTGGTGGCGACTCCTAACCGCCTGCCATATACTTCCCAGTTACTTGATTGCAGGCTTTTGGCCGAAATAAATCGTAGAATACAATTCGCATAAGCAAGAAAGCACACACACACACACACACATGCATGAATACGCTTTGCAAATACAGAAAGTATGTGCCAAATCGGCGCAGCAGAAATAGGGAGTCCATGCCCTGGAGCCACCTGCGTCCCAGGGCAGCAATGATCGCTTTTGTTCCGCGATCAACCCCCTATCCGCCATCTGGGGACGCACCACGCGGCCTCGCGGCTTACTGGTTCGAGATCCCTCATATGTAGAAGATCCGTGGTCTTTCAGTGTAGTAGTACTAATTTCTGACATCGGTTTATTTGGAGTTACGAAGTATAAAGGTCAAAACACATGGCTTACACGATTCCACTGGTGAAATGAACCACTGCTTTACAATACATACCCACATTAGGGAAGCATTTGAAATATATATATATATATATCTATCGACTACCACGGATCTCCCACATCACCTAAGGGATCTCGAGCCGGTTAGGCCCGAGGCAACGTGGCGCGTCCCAAGGTGGCGGATAGGGGGTTAATCGTGGACCAAAAGCGACCTTTGCTTCCCTGAGACGCAGGTGGATCCAGGAGATGGACTACGTGTTTTTCTTGAGCCGATTTGACACATATTTTCTGTATTTGCTAGCAGTGCTCAATGCATACGTGTGTGGGTGCGTTCTCGCTTATGAAGATTGTATTCTACGAGTCAATTCGGCCAAAAGCCTGCAATAAAGTGAGAGGGAAGTGTATAGGAGGCGGTTAGAAGTTGCCCGCAACAAATAAGTTCTGTGTCCATTCTAGGAGAGACTGGAAAGCTACTTCTGAGTATGCCCAACTTTCACGCTCAAAGACCAGCTACACGTCGGCATCAAAATGTTAACCACAGCAAAACGAACGGGTCTTATTTCCTTCACCCCGCAAGAAAAGCCGATTCGGCATCGTTGGATAGAACGAGTACAGAGAGGCTGCAAAAATCTTAGAGCCATTCTAAGGTGTCTAAACCGCAAAGAACTAAGATCTGTACCTACAATACACGCACACTTGCATCCGAGTTCGCGATAGAAGAGTTGATCATTCAAGCAAGAAGGATAAGGTACGACGTCATCGGCCTGGCCTAGACGAGACGGCGCCGCTTATTTAACGCCGTTTGTGACACCGGAAAAGAACAGTTCCTCGGAACATGCGACGGCAGAAAAAGTGGCAGCGTTGGTGTTCTCGTCAATACGAGTTTCTCCATGAACATCGATTCTTTCGAACAACTAATAACCCGAACAACTAACAATAGGACGTTTACGGTTAAAGAGATGTGGATCAATACCGGCTTCAACAAACTTCGCCGTTTACGAGCCGACATCAAACTATGACGAAGAAGAAGTCTAGGCGTTCCATCTAGACTTGGGGAAGCTCTACAGAGAACACCACACATTTTTCAAGGTCATCACTAGACATTTCAACGCCAGAACTATACCAAGAAGAACGTCTGAAGACCGTCATACTGGCACCCACGGATTAGAATGAAACGAGGAGGGTTAGCGTCAGTCCGAGTTTATCATGACGACCAAGACCATCCACGGTAACTCGCAATTCCAGAAGCACCACACCAGGGGCCGGACGTGGGAGTCTCCCAAAGGAGAGTGCCATAACGAAATAGACTACATCATAGTAAATAGAAGGTTTTGCCAAACCGATGTTGTTGTTGTCCGAAAATTCTACACGGGATCAGGCCACCCCCTCCCAGGTGCAAGATTCCATTTCTCGCTCAAAGGAGAAAAAGCCGCTGAATTCAAAGAACAAAGCCCCAGAACCACCATAAAACGGGAATTATTCAAATCATTAGCTGGCTGTTGGGAAGATGCCGTTGTCGATAACATCGACGAAAAATACAATTGGATCATTCAACATCTTCGCGTTATCGCTATGAAAGCTGAGAATTCGAAAGTCACCATGAGACGTCTGTCTCCAGAAACACTTGAGCTGATACGCCAGCCTGGAATCGAGCGAGCTGCAGGCAATCGCGAACTAACGTCCGAACTTGCAAAAGAATGCAGACAAGCGGTAAAAGAAAAAGGTAAAGAGAGAGCAGCAGCAGTTATGGTCGAAGCCGCAGAGGCTGGGAAAAGCATTCGCCGCCCACCGTAGCCTCGCCAATCACAAGCCCAAGATAACTGCACTCCGATGTCCAGGCGGAACAGTTACAGCGTCCAGAAAGGCAATGGAAAACATCATTTACGAATACTTTGTGTCGGTGGGCGGCCTATTGCTCTACGTACAGGTTTCTTTTAGCGCAGTAGCAGTGATTTCTGACACAGCTTTATTTGGAATTTCCAAATAGAGATGTCAGTTCATGGCTTAGACGATTTCACTGATAAAGTGAACCAGCGCTTTATATCGCATGCCGCCGCTATGGAGAACCACTTAGCCACGGTAACGAGATAGTCATAATGTTGACTGTTTGCAATATATATCAACAACTAATCTCCACTATCACCTCGCCAATATTGTATATAGCTTTATCGTTATCCACTTAAAAGTGTCTTTGGAAAAGCATAAAGCAAGCAGTCAGCAAGAATTTCTCATTTTCTTCACTGCTAAAGTAAGAAACGGTTCTGTAATGGATTACCATTCAATCCAGCCCGAGACGAAGACTGAAAAAGTGCCGTTGGCTCACGACTTGCAGGTTTCGTTTACCATTCGCTACTTAAGTTCGACTTAATTCCGGCGTTTTCACAATGCCTTTATTTCGGGTGGAGAATTGTATTGTGGAAAATTGTGGAATTGTGGAAAAAAAAGAAAAAACATCATTTACGAATACTACTTAGATCTCTTCGATAGCCACGTCGATCTTCTGTCATATGAAACAAAGGAGGATGGATATGTTGTATCATCGGTTCTTCCTTCCGAAATCCGACGTGCCATTTTGTCGGCGGAAAATCGAAAAGCCACAGGTCCATATAGGGCAAGGTCTGAACACTTGACAATTGCTCGGTTGTTCATACGTTACCTGTCTTAATGCAAGGTCCCTACTCGAAGAAATACCAACAAGACCGTGCTATTGTTCAAGAAGTGTGGCCTCTACGATAGCAGCAACTATCGCTCAATCTGCTTGTTACCTTGCCTCTACAAACTTTTCACTCGAGTCGTCCTAGGCAGGATTGATAGAACACTGGACGAAGGCTACCATGCTAGGAAGCAGGGTCTCGAGAAGGGCACAGTACTATGGACCACATCGACGCAAAAGCAAGCCTCACTGAAGTATTGCGAAAGTACAAAAGACCGCTCTGTCTCACATTCATTGATTTGTAGAAGCTCTTTAACTGAAATGAGATAGAAGCAACCATTGAAGCCCTTGATAGTCACGGAGTCTCTATTCAGTGCATAAAGATTCTTCGTGAGCAGTACAGAAATTTCACAACCAATATATCACCATTCTACAACGATATTAATGTTAACGTCAAAAAAGGGGTTATGCATGGCGATACCACCATGACAAAATTATTTGCCTCACTCTCGAGAGCGTCATGCGAACATTGGAATTGGATAATATGGGAGTAAAAATCGATAGTCGGCAGTTACACCTGGATTCCCCGGGATGTCGGCAGCACTGCAGGAAGACCACCGACCCGGTGGTCAGAGTTCTTCACGAAAACCCTAGAGAAGGATGTGATGCTCAACGATTCCCTAGAGCGAGCAGAACCTACTGGCCTACTCTTGGACGCGATATGGAAAATGGAAGAATCATTTAAACCAGCACGAGGCGTAGACTGAGGAAGTGACGGTGGATTTTGGATTTCATGCTTAATTTTCCATTTGCTGTTTTCACTACTATTCCATTCCAGCGTTCTCACCATGTTTTTTTTGTGTAGTAAAGGGTAATGTGCTCGGCCTTGATCAATCTCTTAGGAAGACGATATGCTCTTCACACCGTTCAACGTTGCACTTGCCAGCCTTGTCCATACGAAAAGCTAACGCTTTTGCCCTCCTAAATAAGATCATGGTTCTATTTTGCAAGCGGAGATAAGCGGAAGAAACCTAATGCAATCGTGATGAGATGAGGGATCGGATCAGCAACCGCGTACTGTGCTGAAGTGCACCTCTGTTCACAGAGCTATAATCGCCGGACAATTTTTGTAGCCCGGGAATAAGTTCCTTTGAGGCCGACTCTATCGCTAACACATTGAGATAGGACAGAATTTATACCGAATTGCTAAGGCTGTGAGTTTTTCCTGGAAAAAATTATTTTCAAAACCGCTCAGTGGGTTAAGTTCTATGATATCCTTCGATAAATCCTAGAGGAAACGGGAAAAAACTTTACGCTATTCACAAATAAAACGCATCTTTTCGATGTTAGGGCCGGTAAGTAACACCAGCCGCGGACCATAACATCGCGTCAAACCATCTTTTCCTATCATATCAGTTCATCTTACTTATTCAGAAACCATTTAAGAGTGTTCCCGCAAGCGAGACGCAAAATTCTCCCGAAACAACCGGCGTCAAGGAAAACCCATCGGAATTAGACGAAAATACATGCGGTACAGTTTTAGTCATGCGGAAACTTTGCAGAAATTCCATTTAGGGACAAAAAGCTGGACTTAACCGAGTTCAGTATTTACGCTTGCATTCGATTTGAGAAAAAAAATCTCTCTTGGTGTAGACTCCACGGCAACAGCAATCCTAAGTGATGGTGCGAGCGACGGGATGTACCTGGTTTGTAAAGAAATATATACAAAAGAGAGCCGTTTAATTGGAAAGCTTAAGCTTTTGCTTACGGTAAGTAAGTTCTTTCAAAAAGCAGATTTTCTAACTGAAATAGTTCGATCTTTCACATTAACTCAGGTAAGGGATGGTCTTCTGGATCGCGTCGCTCAGAAACGGCCTCTTCTTAAAAGCGAACAAATTGCTCAAATTTTCGGAAGAGTGCAAGGACAATTGAGGTTCCATGAGAAGATTTGTGAAAAGCTCGGAAAGATAATTGAGAACTGGGATGGAAGTGTGTGCGATGTGGTCAGGGTAAGTGCTCTAATCTTACAAATCTCGAAAGATGCGTTTCAGTGACAGAAATGATTTGGAGTGTCGAAGATTCTTAACGAACGCAGAAAATTATTGCTGTCTCCTTTCAATGTGGATACAAACGAAAATCTACAAAAATTTCGTAAAACTTGTGTTAGCGGCAGGCACTAAATCTCTGTTGCTGTTTCACGCTCACCATCAAATTGAAGAGAGGTGATCTGGAATATTATCAAAAGTCTGTAGAACTCCCACAGATAGTGTAAACTACCAGAAGCTTCGTGTGTTCCGCAGGCAAAATGAGGCGGTGAATAGATGAGTCGTTGAAGAAAATTTATTGAAGATCTGGACAGAGACATTCGACGAGCACCGACGGGTCTATTCGTCGTACACGAACTACTACGACAGGGCAACAGCGATGCTAAAAAATGCTTGTGAGAAGGACCCGAAGCTAAAGAAATTTTTCGAGGTAGGTCCACTTTAGAGCTTTGAGAAAGAATTTTCGCGCAATTTATGTTCTACTCGACTAAATATGAAACAATTTTATTAAGGGCCAAGAGAAAAATAAATTATTTGAGCGAAAACGCGTCGTGGATGTCATGATCGAACCGGTGCAACACGTTCCGGGATTGAAAAACATCCTTGAGCGTAAGAGATTCGACACACTATGTCTAATACTATTACACCATCCGTTAACAAAACTCACGAGATTTGGTTTTCATAGTTTATGACTTTACAGTCTACATATATCTGCCATCTTTATCCTAACTAAAGATTGGCGGGAAGGTTTAAGTGCACGCGAAGAAAAGACCTGCTGAAAATTCTGCTTTCTGAGAGCTATATAACTATTAAGCTACCGTAGAGTTAGAAAAGGAATGCGCTTACATAATATTAAATCGTAACAATTGGTTCCATTTCAGTTTACCTTATTTTTGCATGAAAGCAAAATTTCTACAAACATTGGAACGCTCTGGCGTGCCAGAG